TATTTGGATCTAGACACACATTAATTTTTATCTGTGTGCCTTATTTTTTAAAATTCTTTCCTTGAGCTGTTTAGCCCCTGGGATTCCTTGGAGGGTTCATTTTGCTTGCTTTTGTATGGGTTTAGCATACAAGCCCATCTGCTCTCCAACCTGATATCTCAAGCTCTTACACCAGTTGTCTTTCCAGGTACGGCCTCAAGGTGGACATCTGGGCGGCGGGCGTGATCACGTACATCCTGCTGTGTGGCTTCCCGCCGTTCCGTGGGTACGGGCAGCCCCTAGGATCCCTTGCCCTGGGAGCTGCGGGAAAGAACAGAATGGGAACTTGGCCGTGGTGCCTGCTACCCCGTTTTCCCCATGTCATGCATGCCAGTGGTTATGCCTGCCACAGATTCCCTGTAGAACTTAGAAACACATTCTTCCTTACTAGTGAATGTTCTGCCTTGCTTAAACATACGCATCTTACGCACTTACGGGGTGAGGAAGGGGGTCCGATTCATCACAATGATGAGCCGTACAGGGAGTTGGCACTGAAGGCTGTTGTCTCTTCACTCTCCCTTGTTGTCTGCACAGAAGTGGGGATGACCAGGAGGTGCTTTTCGACCAGATTTTGATGGGACAGGTGGACTTCCCGGCGCCATACTGGGACAACGTGTCTGACTCAGCCAAGGTGGGTTTCCAGTGCCTGCCCGCCCCGCGTCCTGCGGGCCTTCATGGGAATATCGACTCCCTGCCGCTGTGTGTGAAGGATGAGTACCACCCTTGGTGGATATTCACCACCCTTGAGCCATAGTGGTTTCCAAGGCTATCTTATTGCTGGGAGCAGACCACCCATCTTTCTCCTGGGGAGCGTCCGGTGGGCTCCAGCTGCCAACCTGGCGGTCTGCTCCCATAAATACCACCACCAAGAAGCCCCTGTGAGGCTGTTCTACTCTGTCACATGGGGCTACTGTGAGTCAGAATTGACTCGATGGTACAACAATGTCGTAGGTATGTTTACCTTTGTGCCCACCTGACATAACAGCTAGCTACCTACCTGCGTCCTGGTGTGTCGCTGTGGATCACCACTGGTCGGCAGGTCAAACCCACCCACTGCTCCTCAAAAACCCTATACAGGATCACTATGAGTCAGAACCAACTCCATGGTACTTAACAACAACAACAACAACAGAGACTTTGGTGTAGTGCTGTGGGTTAATGCGCCAGAGTGCAAAGCCATTTGAACTGCAAGGTTGGTGGTTCAAGTTCACCAGCTGCTCCTTGGAAACCTTATACAAGGCCGGTATGGGTCGGAACCTACTCGACGGTACCTAACAACAACAAACAGAGACTTTGTCCCCAAATGCCTCGTTTTCCATGTAAAGTGGCCAAAGCCTCTGTTTCCTGCTGCTCAGTTTAGAAACACGTAGGTCGTGTCGAGAAAAGTCAGTGGTCATGCAGAGTGGGCAGGACATGAGGTGCCCAGCTGGGGAGGCAGGTGAAACCTGCCCAGGAGCCAAAGCTGTCACTCAGAGCAGGACTGGGAGTTCTGGAGCAGGACGGTCCAACTGCTACAGGCATCACGACGCTTCAGTCCTGAATGAGGAAAGCTAAGAGGGCTCTTCACAGCAGCAGAGATGAGGGGTCAGCACCTGTGCAGGTACCACACGCTGTCCACCTTGTCGGGAGCTGCTGTATCATCCAGCACCCCAACAAACACAGCAGCATAAGTGGGTGACGCTACAGAACTGAAATGCATTACTGCCTCATAGTGCAAGCAGCCAGAAGTCCAACCTGTTTCAGGTTCTAGTACCAAACCCCAACCCACTGTTGAGACCGTTCGGACAGAGGACCACCAAGTAGAATGACCACACAGGGTCCCCAAGGCTGCCAGCTTCATGGAAGCAGACAGCCCCATCTGTCTTCCAGTGAGCGGCTGGTGGCTTCGAATCCTCAGCGTCACGGCTAGTCGTCATTAACCACTACGCTAGCAGAGCTCCTTCTTGGACGTCGCTGGCCTTGTGGGTGGCCGACGTCATGTGGCGTCTCTTCCCCATCCTGTGTGTTTCTGTGTCTATAACTTAGAAGGGACCATCCTACCCTGCTGTGACCTCGTGAAGGTCACAAACAAGAAACTCTATTTCCAAACAGGTCATATCTACAGCTCACAAGGATTTCAACCCTTAACACAGATAGGGCCATTTTCTTCCATGGGAACCGCTAATCCTGGGTTGACAGGATGAAGTCATTATTAAGACAAAACTGTGACTTGTTCTCATGGGGTCATTCCAGTCATTTCAGAACTCTTCAAACATTTATCTCTTAAAGTTCTATTGCCTTGGTATCGATTGACCTGGGAATTTTAAAAGCAGTTCTGACCCATTTCCTCAGACTTCTTTGACTGCTGAAGAATCATTTCTGGGTAAACTTTTTCTGGTTCCTCGGTTTCAAATCTAAGTATGTCATCTTGCAGTGAAGAAGGAAAAAAAAAGTCCACTTTTCCTTTAAACTGCAAAGGTGAAAATGGAATTTAAAAACAATGTCTAAATGTGATGTCTATGTTAGACTAATTAGGCAAGCTCTTTAAGGCATAAAATCCTAGAAAAGGGAAAGAATATTAGTCCTTGGATATACACACTTGGTTTCTTTTCTGTGGAAAAGCTTTCTTTGTAAGAGATTGATTTTAATATTCATTCATTTTTTGAATTTTTCCCGTTGGTTTTTGCCTAACAAGGAACTGCTCACTTTTTCTTTCACTTTTGGGTAAGATGAGTTGATGAATTCAAGGACCAAAACCACAACAAGCACGCTCCTGTTAGGTGCATGCTGACTCAAAGTCATCCTCTGTGGCACTGCTGAGACAGAACAACCTCGTCTTCTCCCGAGGAACATGCTGGTGGGTTGAAACCGCCAACCTTGCCTAACCCGCAGAGCCAACAGGGTGCCTTGACATATGAAGGGGCTTCAAAAAGTTCATGGAGAAACCCCAGTGAGATCTGCGGCTGAGCCCCCTCCTGAGCCCCAACATGGACAACGCTGAGTGAAAGGCAGACACACACAGTCACACTTTGTGTCGTGTCATTTCTGTGGCGTGCCCAGAATCGACAAATCCACAGGCTGAAAATTGCTGAGGCGGGGGAAGGGGGGAACATAGGGTAACTGCTCATAGAGCGCAAGGGTTTTGGAGGAATGATAAAAATGCCGTGGAATCAAAATGTGGTGGCGACCCCATGCTTTGAGGATGTAAGACAAGAAACCCACTGAATTGCACATTTTATGCATATTCTATCGATGTAAAAAAATTCTTTAAGAAATGTATTTGGAAATGGTGATTGGATTTTGCAATGTGGATGACTAGTGTCTTTGACAAGAATGGTGGTGATATTTGACCAGAGAAGAGTGTGCAAGAGAAACAGGAATGGGCATTTTGAGCATCAATGTGGATAATAATAATAATGTATTGAAACACATCTAATAGGTTTAAGCACATGAATTCATAATGATACTTGAAAGAAAATAGTGAAACATAACCCAGACTCACAGTGAGGAATACTAGGGAGCCAACTAATTATGAAACGAGCAAATAAACAACCGCACAAAAGTAAAGAAAAGGAAAGAATGTGCAGCCTGTTCTAGCAAAGCTGCTAACGTGTGTTAGAGCCCTGGTGTGAGGCTGTATCTGCAAGGTCGGGTGTTCAGGCTCATCAGCTGCTCCTTGGAAACCACATATGAGGTCGCTCTGAGTCCGAACTGACTTGATGGCACTTAATCGTACGAGTTATTTGTGAGAAAAAAAGACACTGTTGTTGCTAGCTGCCATCAAGTCTGTTGTGACTCACAGTGACCCCGCTCACACTGGAATGGCCTACCATCCAGTCTGTTGTGACTCACAGTGGCCCCGCTCACACTGGAATGGACTATTATCGAGTCTGTTGTGACTCACAGTGGCCCCGCTCACACTGGAATGG